CCAAAGTCTGTAAATCAAATATTAGAGTTCATCAAGTTCTTATTAACTGTGAAATTTTATGTAATATCAGACATAGACTAGTTTTAGGGGACACATAGGAAGTATGGACACCTACCTATACTAGTTAATCAATTAAAAAATACCCAGCAGTAGAATGGTGTGGAAAAGAATATAAAATTAGTTCTGCCATTCATTAGTTCTATAGCTTGGGCAAGACATTTTATCTCTGTGAGCCGTAGCTGTTTTAATTATAAAATGACTCTAGTATGTTAGCCCCTGGATTGAATCTAGACTGCACTTTTATTTTGTTTGATCTGCCCAGAGATTTTGCTGGTTTGTCTGCTTGTTTTGAATTAATTGTTATGAGAGGAGCAGTGAGCAGTCATCAAATATCCAACTTCTCCCCTTCATTTCCCTGCCTTCTTTGGAATCAAGCAACTCCATCTGATCAATGGACTGTGAAATGAAATGATGTGTGTCATTTCCTGGCCAAAGCACTTAAGAGCTGGTGTGCATCTTCATCTCTTTCTTTCTCTGCAGTGGTGACCTTGGGAACCATAGGTTGAGGTGGCAGCCTCACAAGGTAAAGGGATCTTGGTTCCCTGAGTCACCAGATGGAGGAGAATCCTGCTCACCTGCATACATCACCTGTATGATGTACTAAACCAATGATATTTTGGGTGGTTGGTGACATTTAAAAATTGGGAAATTTTACATGAATAAAATCTGGATTTGTGACTTGTCTAAGGAAAGAGAAGATCTGGCAATGCTGGGCTTCAATTCCTAAATGGCAATAATTGTCTAGAGCAGAGTGATGCCTCCCCATCTTTTACTCTTTATTTCACCACTGTCCTCGCCATTTCCTGTAGAATACACTTCCTTTCATAAGCCCCAGTGATACAGCTGAATGTCAGTTGCCACTTGACATCACTCTTGTGGAGTCATTTTCTTATATCAAGAGGAAAGTGAAATATCTCTGTATTCATATCCCTAACAAAAATGGGAAAATTAAATATAGATCACGATGGCTATGTATTTAAATAAATTTAAAAGAGCAGTGTTATTTGTGGAAGAGAAGAATATTTCTAAGTGTTTAGTGTGTAAAGTGTGTCCATGTCGAAAGAAGGCAATTTAATGGGCTATTCTGAAGTGGCCCATAGGAAAAGCTGGGTGTAGAGAAAAATGTCTGCTGAAAATTTATTAACTAAAAAATGGGGCTTAAATTTCAACAGGGGTTCTTTTTGATTGAGAATAAAATAAAATAAACGGTACTTCTGTGAAATACAGTTACATATGAAGTGAGAAAATTATATCCCACCTGCTTCACTCATTTGCCTGCCTAGTCCCTAAAGGCATTTGATTTTGAGGATTGAAGGGGACAACGTATGAAGAATATTTAACATGGTATAAAGAATATACAGCCTGGTGCCGGGCATGTAGCTGTCTCCAAAAATGTTAGTTTCCTTTCACTTAGTTTATTCATCTTGATCACAGAAAAGTATATTGGAATCTACTTCCAACTTTATTCTAAAGCCCAACAGTTCAATATGTACATGTAATCAAGAAGACCAACAAACTGGGTCATTTCCAACAAGGTAGGGAGATTAGAGGGGAAAGCAAAGCAGGAAGAGTGACTTCTTTATCAGGGGAGAAGAAAGAAATTTGAATTCCTCAGTCTGAAAAAACAAAGGCTGAGAAGAGACATGATCAAAACTATGAAGTCTTAGATGGAAGGTAGGGGAGATAAGGCTATTGTTCAGCATAACTCCGCCACTTTCCCTGCCCTCCTCCATAGGAAAATAGTACTTCCCTATCCCTTGGATGTTGGACTTGGCCATGTGGCTTGTTTTGGCCAATGCAATGTGGCCTCTGGAAGCTTCTGACCTCCACCAGGAGAAGAACATGGTCCAGGTGGCCACTAGCCCTCAGCCTGGACCACTGAATAAACCCCAAAGAGCAGATGCACAGTCTAGAACCAATTCCCGCTGACCTGCAGACCCACAGCAATAAATACGTGCCTAGTGTTGTACACCACTGAGTTTGGGGGTACCTTTTTATGTTGCATTATTGCATTATTGCTTGCCACTATGGAAGGTATATATGGTGAAGAACTTTTCTAATCCCCCAAATGCCAGAAGTAGGTATCTAGACATTGTTCTATGTAAAACTTCAAAAGATAAAACATTTCTATTTGGTACCTCTTCTTCAAAGCCCCCAGAGTTACTCTAGATGCCCCTTCCCTTCATTGCCCCCAACTGTTTAGTTTCAGTCATACACTGTAGGTAGATTTTCTCTGTCTGGTAATTCCTGTCCTTTGGGCCATTCTTTAGGGATTTGCTTTCTCTCTAATGATTGTAATAATTAAGGCTAAGAATAAATAGTACTTTCTATGTGGAGGCACTGTTCTAAGTGCTTGACAAAATTGAACTCAGTCAATCTTCATAGCCACCCTATGAGGTAAGTACTATTAATATCTCTATTTCATAGATGAATAAACTGAGGTACACAGCAGTTAAGTAACGACCCCAAATAAGAGAGTTAGTAAGTGGAAGAGGGAAGTTCAACTTAGGTGGTTTGCCCTCAGGCTCCAAGCTCTTCCCCCATTGTCTTCTCCTTTTTCCATAGCGATGAGTTAAATGGATAAACTAATATACATTAACATTAATTTGTTATCTAATATTGGTTTATTACTTCCCCAGCTAATGTAAAGCCATAATTCATTACATGTGTAGAGGGCCCCGAGGAAATGAATCTAATGATGGAATTTTGTCCTTATGACAAACCATTAAAGAGATAATTTGAGGATGATATTTTTTTCTCATGCTCCTCAGATCACAAATACTTTAATTTCAATGAAAGCCATAAAATCAGCAAACTCAAAACTTGAAAGAAGAAATCTGAGGAGGAATGTACATGAATCCTGTCTTTTGACAGTGTTTGAGGAACATGCAGCTCAGGTGCTGTCAATGAAAACTCAAATATCACTTAGGAGCTTTCCTACCCTAAAAGGATGAGGAAACTTGGCTTAGATTCTCCTTCTGGAGGCTGGGCAGTCCCTCTCCAGGATTTCAGAATCCACCTCCTCATGCTTGAGTCCTGGCTTCAGTGGTTACAAGGCAGCTTCAGGCCTACTGTCCCTGCATCATGTCTTTAGATGTTCCTGCAAAAATGTCAATGAGACCAAGCATGTGATTGTTTTCATTTTTACTAAAAACTTGTTAGGACACAGAGGAAGGGATCACATCACAGATTACGCAGCCATCTGTCATCTCATGAAGCCCCAACAAGTTCTGCTGGTCACACGCCTTTCGAAAACCCTTCCATCCTCCATGAGGCCGCTTTTGGTGGGCAGTCCCCCAGCTCTGGCTGCTTCTCTCAAGGGAAACAGCCCCACCAACCCATCTGTTTCTCTAGCTTTCAACAGCTCTTTACCCTAGAATTCTGAATAATCCAAAAATCTCTATCTTGTTACAGTGAAAAATATTAAGGAAAATAGTGAGCTAAAATAACCTGAATCCCCACAGGAAAATCTACTTATAGATAAGCTATTGGAATAAAAGTTCAGCAAAACTGGTGGATATAGGATCAATACATAAAGATCAATAGCATGCTCACACATATATAACCAACAATTACATAACCTTAATTTATTATTATTCTAATACATAATAAATGAATCAATATATATTTACAAAGATGCCATTCAGCCTATTTGCAAAAACTATAGGGCACCTAGTGATAACTCTAACAACAGATGTCTAATAGAACAACCTAACTGTTCCTCTGAGGGATAGTGAATTAATTAAAAAACTGTGGCTTAGTCATACAGTACAATTGTATATGGCAATTAAAATGAACAATTCAAAACCCACCTATGTATATCTACATGGCTCAATCTTGAAAATATAACACTGACTGAAAAAAGCGATTTGCAAAATGTACATGTAGTATATAATAATGTAAAAATTGAAAACACACAAAACAATTGACTGTGTGAATAGACATCTGCATGAGAATTAAGTTCACCTATTTTTAAGACAAAGACTAACTCTAATGAAAAAAGGATTGGAAAAGTATGTAAGTAGAGTGGGCTTTCTTCAAAAAATTCCCTAAGAGGATTATACACTTTATATCTATGTTATACGTCAAATATATTCAATAAAAGAAAATTCTAAGAGGGGAAAACTTTCCATGGTGCTACAACATTAATTTTATATAATGTGTATATTATTGATGCATATTAATAGCAATATATTTTTGATATGCATATACTTGAAATATTTTATAATTAGAAATTAAAATGGAAATTTCATGAGTTCAAGGAAGATTTCAGTGAGATAACATTGAAAAACCTTTCATCTTCCTTAATAACTTTATTTTTACTCTGATAGTGTGTATTTTTAAATGTTCAAACCAAGAAAGAAAGTTTGGACCTTAGCAGGAAGTCAGAGACTAACCAAATGCTGTAAAATAAGGATCAAACCCCTTGACTGAAATTTTATCATCACAGAAAGGTCAGATTAGATGTGCAATAATTGCCTGTATTTTGAAGTTTAGTCCTTTAATACTCTTGCCTGTTTTCATATCTAGTGGCCGAACCATGAAATCCCTTCCAGCTCTAACGTTTTTTGTGAGAGCCTAGACCTCAGATCTGCTTGTCAGGAGTGCCCTGCTCCTAGCTAAAGTGAAAAGCAGTTGCTCCCTCCTCAGCTAGAAAGAATTAAGCAGAGAAGCCTCAGAATACAGAGGACAATGTGGGGCAGAAATCCACACCTAGACTTGGCAGACCAATTAGGACCCAGAGGGAGCCCTGAGAGGAGGGATGCTGAGAAGGTCAGGCGTGTAGATGAGACAATGATTGTTCTGCCTCCTTTGACAATAGCAACGGTTAGAGAACAAGTGTATTTACTCTGTTCTTAAGTGCTGGGCTATTTTGAATTCTACTTTAACATGTATATCTTATTGCCTGTAGTAAAAATTGTATGGCAATTTATTTTTTGTTGTTGTTTATAAACATTTGGAATTTTATTTAAAAAACAAAAAACAAAACAAAACAAAAAATCACAACCATGAACATTGTTACAGTTAGAGGCCCTCTTGGTTCTCCACAATGATACTGAGCATGCTCACAAGGGGTTCCCATTGTTTAGTCTTAGTTAAACAACCATCTTTTAAAAGAAGGAAGAAAAAACTCCGCACACTACCATTTAACTTGTTTTAATGTTTCTTCACAAACGGTGAAAAATACTAAAGTACAGACAAGGAATAATCATAATGTTGTGGCCAACATTATAAATATGGAATTATAAATTTAAAACATTTTCTGGTTTAAAAAATAAATCTGGTAGTCAATGCAGCTCTGCGGGGTCTCTGCGTCTAGTAGGGCCGGTCTCTGCGTTCCTGACGGTGCTCGCCTTTATCCATTTTTCAGGTCCTCCGCGCCCGCCTCTTCTTCCTCCCATCTGTTCCATCAAAGGTCCAGGAGGCCCACCAGGGCCGCCCCGTCTTCCTCCACCAAAGCCACCTCGGTCCATGCCCCGGCCACCACGGAAGCCCCCTCTGTCTCCACCACGGCCACCTCTGAACATCCCACCGGGACCACCGCGGTCCATGAGGCCGCCTCTTCCGCCGCGCATGCCACCAGGGCCACCTCTGCCACGGTCACCACCCGGGGGTGGAAAGGGTGGTGGAAGGAAGCCTTCAGGCTTCGGGGCCTTACACTGGTTGCATTCTGTTCTCCAGGCGAAGTTCTGGTTTCCACACCCCGGATTGGGGCACTGCCAGTCTCCAGCTCGGTGCTGGACATTTCCTCCTCCGGATGGGTTCCCTCGGGAACCCCGGGGCCCTCTTGGAGGAAAGCCACCTCTCCTCCACGGCCTCCCATGCGACCCATGGGGCCCCCAGGACCTCCTGGGCCGCCTGGACCTCCACGAAGTGGCGGCGGCATCCCTCTGCCCTCACGGGGAGGCATACCACCCCGCATGCTGTTCATCGGAGGCTTCTTCCGAGCAAGAGAAACCTTAAGTTTGCTCCCTTGAAAATCTTTCCCATCAAACCACTCCACGGCAGCCTTGGCAGTTGGTGGGTCTTCATAGGACACTGTAGCATCACCTTTGGGCTTTCCTGTTTCCTTGTCCAAGTAGATATGGATCATGGGTTGTCCGGTTCTCTTGTTCATCTTAACAACTCCACACTGCTTAAAGAAGTCTGCCAGATCATCTAGAGTCACATTGTCATTTAAGACTTGCACATAAATTGCACTGTTGTCAGAGTCTTCATCTGGATCTACAGGTGGGCCTAGATCAAGATCTGGTCCTTCGTCCATGGGTCCACCAGGCTTATTGAAGCCACCTCGCTCTCCAGCGCTGCCCATTCCACCACGTCCTCCTCCCCGCCCACCTCTGCTCATGCCTCCACGATCAAATCCCCCTCTTCCCCTGCCCTGGTTATCAGGGCCACTCATGCTCCAGTGCTCTCCTGGTCCGGAAAATCCTCCAGACTCCTACCCATAAACACCCATGCTACTGGGGTGGTCCTGTCAGAATGAACTCTGCTGCCCCTAGCTGCTGCTCTGTTGGCTATATTGACTTGGAGCCTGGCTGTAGGATCCAGTTTGGGGGGGATAACTAGTGGGCGGCTGCTGCCCATAGCTGCTTTGTTGACCATAGCTACTCTGCTGTCCATAGCTGCTCGGCTGCCCATAGGTGTTCTGCTGAGAGTAACTGCTCTGATCAAAGCTAGTCGGCTGTGTAGAGGAGTAGCTGGTAGGAAGGTAAGATGGTGGTGCTGTGACTGGCTGCATGGGGTAGCTCCCAGGTACCTGGGGATAACTGTAGTTACTCTGTCCATATCCTAGGCTGGGCTGGTTGTAACCCCCTGTGCTAGATTGAGGTTGACTAATCTCAGCGGGTTTGTTACCATCCTGCGGTCTTGCAGGTGCGGTGGCTGCCGGCTGCTGCCCATAGGCTGGGTAAGCAGGCTGAGTGCCATAAGCAGACTGAGCTGCATAGGAGGCCTGGGTGGTAGTGACTGTAGCAGTGGTGGTATCGTAAGCACCAGTGCCGTACCCCTGGACAGGCTGACTGTATGCCTGGGGGGCAGTTGGAGTAGTATAACCAGCGGGAGGCTGTCCATAAGAAGTTGCATAGGCGGTCTGCCCATAGGTCGCAGGGGTCTGAGCCTGGGTATAGCTGACATCAGTGGGCTGTCCATAGGTTCCATAACTTTGCTACTCATATGCCTGGGTGGTCTGTGCATATCCTTGAGTGGGTTGGGCGGTGTATGCACTGTAGCCCTGCTGGGCTGCCGCTTGGCTGTAGGTACTGTAATCCGTGGACGCCATTTTCTCTCCTTCCTTCTCGTTCTCTCAACGTCCGTCTCCCTCTCGCTTTCCCTCTTGGCGCCTGTATGGCAATTTAAATATAAATTCAATAGTTGCATTTTTGTTCGAAATGATTATTATAATGGTATTATAGTGGGGTTTTTTGTTTTTGTTTTTTTAAGAAAAAGAATCCTATTTTTAAAGATATATATTGAGGGGCAGCACCTGGGTGGCTCAGTTGGTTGTGTCTGATTCTTGATTTTTGGCTCAGGTCATGATCTCAGGATCATGAGCTCTAGCCCTGAGTCAGGCTCTGTTTGAAATTCTCTTCCTCTCCCTCTGCCCCTCCACCCCTCAAATAAATAAATAAATCTTTAAGATATATATTGAAGTATTTATGGATGTAATAATGCCGTATTTTGGATTTGCTTTAAAATAACTCAGAGATGAAGGAAGATGGCAAGAGTCAAACTAAAAGACTGGCTATGTGCTGGTAACTACTGAAGCTTAGTAATGGGTATGTGGGGTTCATTAAACCTCTCTATTGTGATATATGCTTTTAATTTTTCATACTAAAAAAAGTAAAAGTCATACTAGTAAGATACAATGCTTCATGAGCTAGCTTTTCTCAGTTACCTACACTTGCAGAAATTCTATCCACGTGACTTTAAACCCACTACTTGCCTGGGGCAATTTCCCAATCTGTTCCCACAACATCTGTTATGAATTGACTTGCTTGCCATGTAATGACAAACTTTTAAAACAATGTTGATGTTGATTTCATAATAATAGAATTTTAATTAAGTTTTCACAGAAAATTGGAATTTTCAGCTCTTTCAGGAAGGGAAACTGTCAGTCTCCCATACTAGAGGGACCACTAAAGCATTTCATATGAACTGAATTTAGATTTGTGAGCACCTATAATATGCCAGGTATTGTGTGGATACATTATTTTTTATTTAAATGAAAACTGATTTAATTAGAAATGGATATTATTCTTTCCATCTCAGAAATGAGGAAGCTTGACATTGCCAAGGTCATATTGCTACCATGTGTGGAGCCAGAATTCCAGTCCATGGATGGATAAATCCAAAGCCTGTGTTCTTTCTCCTACATGCCCTTGGTTTGTGATCCAGCAATAAGGATACCAACCTGGAAGTTTGTTGGAGAGGCAGGCTCACAGGCCCCACCCCAGGCTTACTAAACTAGAATCTACATTTTAACAAGGTTTCTGGGGAATTGCAAAACATTTAAACCATTTGAACAGAGAAACTCTGTTCTATAAAACACTTTATATCTCAAATAAGAGTAAATATTCCTGCTAACATTTATGGAGTCCTCACTATATGTCAGATTTTGTTTACTCTTCATGACAATTCTATTAGAGTTGAGCAAACTGAGACTGCAAAGTTTAAACAACTTCAAGGTCACACTGTTAGTAAGTGGCAGAGTCGAGATGTGAACTCAAATTGGTCTGATTCTGGAGCCTGGACTGTGACCCATTAGCCCGTGTGCCTCACTCCAAACACCGAGTCCAAACGTTTTATTTCATCTAAATGATGCAAATTAGCTGTCTATATCACTCGATTTATAACTAACATTGTTTAATCTACTACTTAGTTTTGATGGTATGGATAGAGTCTAAAATGTCAGACTCAATATGATATTGCTATTTAAAATTTTAAACCATGAGATCATATGGTTAATAAACTTCTTAGACTAGAGCTGGTATATGAAAAAAAATGTGTATGTTTGTGTATACACACACACACACACACACACATATATATCAAGGTGCAAATTCTAGCGGGTTATCTCGCTATTCCACATTTACCAATGGATGAACTGAAATATAAGATGAAGTTGAATGAGACTTACTGAGAAAGGATCAGAAGGACGTTCTGCTTCTTGATTTCACTTTTACATTACTAGGCAACTCTATGTTTCCTACTAGTAAAAAGTTTAGGGTTATTAGACTCTCCTTAAACACCTTCAAATAAACAACTCTTTGATCTTATATAGTGTCAAATAACTGATTCATTTTGCCTAAAAGAAATCTCCCACTGAGCAACTCTTTCATCCTCTGCCATGTGGGGAAAAAAAAGAAACATATATAATGCTTTTGTTGGTGCACAATAGGTTATAATTCTAGGCATACTTTTAGTAAAAGCAATGAGACCATAATTAGCTCTAGACTAAAGCATACTAAACTGTTGTGAATATGACATCACCTGCAGTTACAAAAGATAGCACATTTCTAAAAATACCAGGGAATTTCATATTTTTTTCTATTTTGCCTCATGTAGAGCACCCAAAGCAGAAAAACTTAATGCCCTTTGTGACCTAATGTTTGCAGATCTCAATCTATAAAATCAGTTAATAGTTATCTTCTCTTTTAGGAAGGAGAGTGGCAGAGTAACACTGGAAATCTAAGAAGTAAGTGACATTAAAATCACTATTTTTTAAAAAAGGTATGGACTTTGGGGGCACTCGGGTGGCTCAGCCAGTTAATGATCCCAGGGTCCTGGGATAGAGCCCCGCATAGGGTTCCCTGCTCAGTGGGGAGTCTGCTTCTCCCTTGCCCTCTGCCCCACCCCTGCTCGTGTTCCCTCTCTCTCAAATAAATAAAATCTTAACAAAAAAAAAAGGAAATGGACTTGAATTTCAGAGTATTTAATTACAAGGAAATGGGATTTTCCAAAAATCTACGTAATAAATATCCAACTAATTATAATCAGTGAACCTTTTTTTCTTCTCAGTGGTAAAAAACAGATTAAAACAACGACAACTAAGCATTCTAAAAATCTGATCTATTCTGTATTTAAAAATGTGTAAGTAGATAATTACAACACTTAGATGAAAAAGAAACATTCTTCTAGCCTAAAAGATAAGTCTGTTTTCCCTGTGCATTGCACTGACCATCTGTGAACATGAATTGATTTATAAGCTATTCCCCTTTCATTCATCACCCATTTTCCAGGAATGGATACAGATATCGTGGTTAGGAGCTGATTCTGAAATGAAAAGGTAATTCTAACTATTACCCTATCCTGGAATTTTATAAATATTCAGGAGGTATTCTTTTTCAATGATACATTTCTAAGCAAATGAAAAAAAAAATTTTTTAGACCTAGAAATAGAGGAGATTCTCTTCCTAGTGTTTTCTATGAAGGAAAAACAAAAATACCAAGAAAGTCTATTTCTCCTGTTGGGTATTTATTTCCCCAACTCTTTGTTTAAGATATGAAGTTCTGCGAGGGCTAACCTGATAAAAATCCTAGATGAGTAGTAAGAGAGAGGACAGGTCTATAATTCAAGGGACTGGTGACTGAAAAATGAATTAGATACCCATCATTTCATTCATTCTACGTAGGTACTTGGAATGAGATAAACAGGCCTCAAAGGAAAGGAAGAACAAGCAACACTGGGCATCTGTTTTTCCTCTAATTGAATCCCTGGATCTACTGCTGGGAGAGTTTGTAAGCAAGGAATCTGCCAATTCTAACATTACCATTTTGTTACACACACACACACACACACACACACACACAAACACATATATTGAGTAGTGGATGGGGACTATTTAATCACTGAAGTTCTTTCCAACACTATTTCATTATTTGAGTTGCTCACAGAGTCAAACTTCTAGGGTCCACTCATCTTGCTTATTTTTCTTTTTTTTTATTTTGGCTTTTCAGATGGCATTTATATCAACTGTGATTGCCAGGATTTGGCACAGTGGGTGAAGCAGGTCTTATTTGAAAATCTGTTGGAGGCAGCCTGTGGGAGCTGGTACAACAGGAAGCAGCTCAAGGGGTAGCTGCCTTGTCCCAGTTCTCAAACACAGAGGAAAGCATCCCCAACAAAAAGAGGAAGTGGCCTGTATCGCCTCACTTCAGCCCCACAGAAGGTTCCCTCCTGGACTGGTTTTCTTCAGAGCTCTTGGGCCTGCCAAACAATCCCTTTTCTTGAGATGAAGAATATCCAACAACTGTGGCCTTTAAGAAGTTGGTAACTGAGCAGGAGATGATGGTTGACAGAGAGAAGAGAGGCATGTAGCTCCCAGGAGACAGAAAGCTGGAGAAAGAAGGAGCTGTCTCTCTTCTGGCTTGTGTTCCATTTCCCACTTCCAGGCCCCAGGGCTCAGCTGAATTAGAAATCAGACTAAAGAAGACATCTGTGGTATACCTCAGGGGCATCTCAGTAGGATCTAAGCACTTCCTCATACAAACACAGGGTACTGTTATTGATGAATTTAACGAAGTCCACAGCCTCCAAGAAAAGGTAAGTTTCTATTCGCATAACCTGTTAAAGCAAGAGAGTGTGTAAGACATTTTAGGATTTATATAAAAAAATAATTAAAATATTGTAAAAGAGAGGTCCTGCTTTCAGTGTTGGACTGAAGAATGTTTTTGTGCCCTCTTCACACACACATATCATACATATACATCATCATCATCCTGAAATTTTAGAACCCTGGTGACAAGGAGTACATCTGTTCATTTATTCATACCTTCAACAACTCTTTACTAAATGTCTACTATATTCTAGGCACAAAGCACTTTTGGTTCATTAATGAAGCCCTTACAGTTCTGATATGTTCTGATAAATAAGTAAATTCTATACTATGTTAGGAGATAATAATAAGCAAATGTTATACTATCTTAGAAGGTAGTGTTATGGTAAACAGAAAGGCAAGCAAGGTAAGAAAAATCTGAAATTGCAGGGGTGAAGGTTCAAGTTGTAGTGTTACATGGGGAAGTCAGGGTAGACCTCACTGAGAAGCTGAGATCTGAACAAAGACTTGCAGGAGGAGTGGGAGTTGGCTAAGTGGCTGTCTGCGGGAAGATACTGGCTTGGGCGGCTCCTTACATCCTTCAAGGCAGAGGAAACAGCTAAAGCAAAGGGATAAACACTAAGTTTAAGGAACAGCAGTGGGGCCAATGTGGCTGGATGTGAGAAATTGATGGAGAGAATGGAGCAGAAAAGTTCAAAGGGGCAGTAGGGGCCAGATCCTGTACAGCCTCTTGGGTCATTGTAAGGACATTGGCTTTTACTCGGATTAAAATAAGGAACCACTATAGGATTTTGAGTAGAGGAGTGGCATGATCTGGCTTATATATATGTGCATGCATATGTGCATATATGTATATATATATATATATTTTTTTAAGATTTTATTTATTTATTTGAGAGAGAGAGCACGAGCCAGGGGTGGGGAAGGGCAGAGGGAGAGAGAGAGAAGCAGATTCCCTGCTGAGCAGGGAGCGCAATGCAGGGCTCGATGCCAGGCAGATGCTTAATCAACTGAGCCACCCAGGTGCCCCTAAGTATTGATCTGGCTTATATATATTTTTAAAGATTTTATTTATTTTTTGACAGAGAGACAGCGAGAGAAGGAACACAAGCAGGGGGAGTGGGAGAGGGAGAAGCAGGCTTCCTGCTGAGCAAGGAGCCTGATGTGGGGCTAGATCCCAGGACCCTGGGATCATGACCTGAGCTGAAGGCAGATGCTTAATGATTGAGCCATCCAGGCACCCCAATCTGGCTTACATTTTTAAAGGATCCCTCTAGATGCCATGATGAAGAGCTTTTTAAAGTAATTTAGGCAAAGACGATAGCTTAGCCCAAGGTGGCATCAGCGGATGAGTGACAAGAAGTTGGATTGTGGGTATATTTGGAAGGTAGATACTACAGGATTCCTAATGGATTCAATGTGGAGTGTGAGAAAAATAGAGAAGTCAAGAATGACTCAGGCAAAAAGGAGTTGCTACCCAGTGGGAAGGTCTTGGGGTTGAGGAGCCTTTTCTTGGGAAGGTCAGAATATCAGCTTGGAACATGTTGAGTTTGAAACATGCTATTAGACATCCAAGTGGAGATGTGGAATAAGCAGTTGCATATATTAATATGGAGTTCCACATGGAGCTCTAGGCTAGAGAGATAAATCTGGGAGTTTTTATCATACATTTGAGATTTAAAGTAATGAGACTGGATGAGATCACCAAGGGAGTATAGATGGAGAAGAGGAACAAAGACCTAGCCCTGCAGTCCTTTAGCATTAAGTGGTCAGGAAAATGAGGAAATGGTGAAGACTGAGAAGGAGCAGCTACTGAAGCAGGGAAAGAACCAGGAGAACATGCTGACCTGGAAGCCATGTGAAGACAGATAACCACAAGGAGTACCATGTGCTGCTGATGGGTTAAGAAAGGCAAGGATGGAGAATTTACCACTGGATTTAGCAAAAAGGAGGTTATTGATCACAAGTATAAAAGTAGTCTCTGTGGAGTCAGAGGGGTAAAAGTGATTGAAGTGGGTTATAAGGGTAAAGGGGAAGAGGAATTGAAGACACCAAGTAAAGACAACTATTTTAAAGAGTTTTGCTGTATGGGGCACCTGGATGGCTCAGTCGTTTAGCGTCTGCCTTCGGCTCAGGTCATGATCCCGGGGTCCTGGGATCAAGCTCCGCATTGGGCTCCCTGCTCAGCGGGGAGTCTGCTTCTTCCTCTCCCACTCCTCCTGCTTGTGCTCTCTCTCTCTCTCATAAATAAAAATTAAAAACAAACAAACAAAAAACCTAAGGGAAGATAATTTGCAACATAAGAATTCTATACTCAGCCAAACTATCATGGAGTATAGACTAAATGCATTTTCAAACATGTAAGGTGTGCTGGATATCTTCCGTTTGCCCCTCCAGATCTACTTTCCACTCTTCTCTATCCTTCTTTGTGCTCTGGGAGGCAGACCTGCATGGACTGCTTCACTTGAATTCTCTTGTCCTCCAGCTTCTGGTTGGGTTTGGCCAACATGAAACACCGGCCAAGATACCAGGGGGCAGAAAGAGAGAAGTCAGTGCTGTGTTCCTTTACTGAAGTCACAGACCTTACTGAGAAATTCTTTCCTACAACTGCAACTTTCTCTGGATTCTAGTAAACACTCCTTCCTCTTTCCCCTTCAGGTCTAAATCTTCCTGGTCTTCCTTGCCCCATCTCAATACTGTTCACACCTCTGTAAATAGTTGTTGAGATTTCATCGCACTGCCTCAAGAATACCATTTTTTCCCTAGCTAGACCCTGGCTGGATATCTCCAAAAATGTAACCATACACCCTTTTTCACAAAACTATTTGAGGAAGTTCTCCACTAAAATAAGAGAAGGCACAGGAATGAGGCAAAGGAAATCCCCCAGAACAATGGTGAGAGAAGATCCCATGATGACAGCTTTGTATTAGGCACACAGAACAACCAATTCAAATTGAAGCAGAAAGAAAGTTCTTAAAGATGTGTTTACGATGAAATTGTTCAAATACCTAATGAGAGGTTTTAAACAACTGGGACAAGAATTTGAGACTGAATGAGAATTAAGGGCATAGAAATCTAAGCAAATGGAAAACCAAGAGAGTTGTTAATTTTGGATGTAACAAAAAGTCGGGGAAGAAAGAAAAGTAATCATAGTATAGGAAATAGCTCAATTGTAAGTAGCAAATTATATAACAAAAATTCCAAGGGATTGCTGGAATCTTTCCTTTTATAGATTTCCTTATACTACAAATGTTCTCTATTTTTGTTATATAGAGATTTCTATAGAAGATATTTACCACAACAGTATCAAAAGTTGCCAGGATATTTATTCTAATGTAATTTGACCTAGGCCATTTGACAGGTTAGAAAGTCAAAATCTCAATTAATCTACCTTCAACCTGTGGGGTAAATTAATTTCGCTTATTCTTTACAAAGTATGAGGATTGCAAACCATAACACATAGTGTGCCTGACACTTAGTAGGTATCATAAATAACCACTTTTGTCAGCCATCTTAACAGAACAATGCTGGATAGGGAATATTATAAAACCACAAGTAATACAACTTTGACCTCGGTATAAGTGGGTAGTTGGTCATCTAAAAGTCATGGGGCATTAGAAGCCTGACACCATTATAAAGTTAATACTTCCCAAGTTAAGTAAATGTGATATGGAACTGACTCTGTATACAAACAAAATTGGGGAAAACAATGCTCTGACAAGAAAAGATGACTGAGGAGTGAAGTACAGAGTGAATCAACTCTCAAAGGGGGGTCCAGGGCAGTAAACAGCTCTCCTTTATAGCAGTGACTTAAACACCCAGGTTCCCCCAGAAGTCCCTGTCCTGCATGTCACCAAAGAAAGCCTGGGATCCCAAGACTAGGTTCTGGTTCCTTTCCTAACCATATAAACAAACTAACAAAAAATGAAGAGTTTTAGCTGCAGGAGTTCATTAGGCCTATCAATTCCAGGGGTTGGTCAGACATGAATGGTTTGAACGGTAAAGGAAAACATTAGTCATTAAAAATAAACGTGTATCAAGCACTCAAGATTTGTCAGTCACTGTTCTAAGCCATTTTACACGACTTGTCCCATTAATCTCCATAAAAATTCTGGGTCCTTTTATCCCCATCTTACAGATAAGGAAACCGAGACTCGGGAGAGGTTAAGGAAATGGTCTATGGTTGCTGATAGAGCTGAATCTCAACTCAGATTTGCCAGCCTCCAAAGCCTCCCAGGCTTCTACCTGCACTGTTAACCTGTAAAAAAAAAAACACAGTCTTTAGCTATGGATTTTCTCACTAGCCTAACAGCAATGATCAGATCACATATTAGCAAGTGATCTTCAAATACGACAGCAATAACGTACAAAGGGACACATTATTTTAAGCAAAGGCTCTGACAAGATGCACTAGGACAAGCCTTAAAACCAAAAACTCTTGGGGCGCCTGGGTGGCTCCGCCGGTCAAGCATCTGTCTTCAGCTCAGGTCATGATCCCAGGGTCCTGGGATCCAGCCCTGCATCGGACTCCCTGCTCAATGGGGAGCCTGCTTCTCCTGCTTGTGCTGTCAAATAAAATCTAAAAAAAACAAAAACAAAACAAAAACCATCAACTCCCTCTGGAGGTGGGGCTCAGACATTCAAATCAATTTAACCAGTCAAGTTTTGATAGAAAGAGAGTTATTTTAGGGCTACTTTAGGTTCTTTTCCATTTGTGTATGCCCAGTGCCAACTGTGCCCGCCATAGTAAGTGCTGAATAAACGGATGTATGGATGACTCACCTAGTGGGTCTTGTCAAATCTCACGCGGGGCATCTCATACGAAAACACCGAGGCTATTATTAAAGCAAGCCCCGTCAATACTTTTTCTGTCACGCAGCTACTTAGGGTCCGGGGTAACCTGCTTCAGATGTGGGGCCAAGACTGAGGAACAGGGCGCCACGTGAGAATGCAAAGTAGAGAGCCCGGAAATCCCAGGACCCCAGTAACACTCCGGACTTGAGCTGCACAAAGCCTCTTTTGCAGCGGGGCGGCCCATTTCCATCTTGGCGCGGGTGAAGTGCCGGGGTAGGCGGGGGACCGCCGCCGCTCAGCCTGAATGGGGTTGCGGGGGGTGGGACGGCAATGAGAGTTCAGGAATTCCACGCCGATTGCGGCGTTTGTAGACCCGAATGAAGAGTGGGAGGGAGCACTGCTCACCTGACACACCCCAACCCGCTCTGCTGCAGCCCAGGGCTGCGGGTGTGGCGGCAGGAGATTCCTCAAACTGAGTCCGGTAGGACCGGGGATGCAGCACAACCGCCTGCCGGGCTGCCCGCGCACGCGCATTCCTTACGCGCGGGCGACAGACAGCAGCGCACGCGCGGTGCGTCCTCCCTCCTTCCGTCAGTCCCCTCAGAGCCCGCGGCTCCGCCCCCGCAGACCACGCCCCGCTCCCGTGTACCGAATGCTCCATATCCGGGTTCCCGCCGCCGCCGCCGCCGCCGTCGCCGTCGCCGTCGCCGCCTCGCTCATTCAGCTTTGCGGGGAGTGGTGTGATTCCCGACCAAGATGGCGGCTGTGGGGCGAGTTGGCTCCTTCGGTTCCTCTCCGCCGGGATTAGCCTCGACTTACACAGGGGGCCCCTTGGCTAACGAGCTAACATCGGGCAACGGCGGCGCCGCAGCGGGAGACGACGAGGACGGGCAGAACCTTTGGTAACGACCCCACCCTTCCCTGGGTCCCCGCTGACACTCCCGGCCCTGCGGACACCTCGGGATCCCTTGCCGAGGCCACTACGTTCTCGGCAGCCCCCGCCCAAGCGCGCCGAGGCCGGGTCGGTCCCTTCCGCGGTGGGGCCCCCGTCCCCCGCCTCAGCGTGTGCCTTTGCTCCCCGCTAGGTCCTGCATCCTCAGCGAGGTCTCCACCCGCTCGCGCTCCAAGCTCCCCGCGGGGAAGAACGTACTGCTGCTGGGTAAGTGTCCCCTGCCTCGCTCCGCCCCGCTTGGCCCCCACCCCGGTCCCGGTCAGGGTCCGCCCGCCCGCTCGCTTTGTGCGGACAGCCGGGCCTGGCCCCGCCCCGCCGCCGGACCTGTCGCTGACAGTTGGGGAAGAAGAGGAACGGGGACCCCGGCCCCGGTACCTGTGGGGACCCGCCTTCCCCAGAGCCCTTTCTCCCCAGGATGTGGAGGTGGCCCTCACAGTCTCCCATGGGAAGGACAAAATGCGGTAGCCCATCTGAGGGATTCTAGAGGCTTGAGGTTTACCTAGAAAAAAAGGACGGTTTTTCTTTCATAACAAAAATTGCTAGCAGGAGGCTCTTTGCAAGAGCTCCAGTGCAAATGGCATGCCATTAATATTTAATAGCTGACTCTTTGTATAATTGACAGAGAAGCTAGAAATTGAGACCGGGTAATCGTGACAAATGTTCTTATTTGATTCAGCTTTTTCGGGTACAATGGACTCGTGTTGCAAATGCCTTTTTAACTGTCACTTATAATTCTGAAATTTGTAAAGGACAGTAGAACACCTTACTAGTCCAGTCCCTTCAACCAAATGATTGTAATAAGGAGAAATGGTCTAATGTCTCAATTCTGTTCAGTAGCTCCTCTGCTCTCTGGAAGTTAGGTATGTTTCTTTACTGATTCTGAGGGTGGGCGTATTGGACATGGAGGGAGAATAAATCACAGATTCACATTTTTGCAGGCTTAGCTCCTGAGTCATTTACAGAAGACATTTCTTTCATATTCTTTAAATGCGAGATATTGACGTTTGCTTATAAAATGATGGCTAAATTTTAAAACTTTGGTATTGGTGTCTCGAGACTATTTTTATGTACATATAAAAACAGGAAAAGGAAACAAAGAAGTCAAATGCTACATGACAGGGTCTGCTTTTAATAAAAATGTTTAGATAGAGACAAATTACTTATTTTTATAAATTGCTGCCAATCTAGAATATACAGGATTCTTGATGTTCTTTATTACATGGAGCTCGTTGAGAAATTAGTTTTTACCTCATTTTTAATGTTACTGAAAGTCCCTACTGCATATTAACCTGGGTTCAGTCACGGCCCTATGATCTTAAACAAGTTCCTCGATATCTATAAACCTTAGTTTCTTCATCTTCAAAGTGGATATTATAGAAATAATAATGCCTCCCTCGTAGAGTTATGGGGAGGACTGATGAGATAATGCCTGTAAAGTGATAACAGCACAGTGACTTTTTGTGATGGATTTCTCTTAACTGAATTAGAAAATGTTTTATTAGAATTCTCTTTTTTTTGAAAATTGAATTAGTGTCCACATAAGTGATATTTATAGGGCAGAGATGGATTAGGATCCAAATGCAAAAAAAAAAAAAAAAAAAAACCCAGAAAATGTTTTAAGTTTACTCATTTAAACAAATTACTATTAATTGCTAAACTAAAATGGACTTAATGTGACCTCATTGAAGCGGATTATTTTTTAATGACTCTAAAAAAGACCAAATACTGCCATTATAAGGTTAAGATTCCTGAACTTTGTTTTCATTTTGTAAGTTCCTCCAGTTATTTCTGTGCATTAGATATTACTTAGATGGTTCTGTTTGTAGCGAAACAAAAGTGACAGTTTTGTTCATTTTTGATGTCCCTGATGTGCTGAGGTTGCACCATGCTTTTTTTTTAACCCTTTTTTTAACCTGCTTTTGACACTGGATCGATCAGTGTATGTGACTGAGTGTACTTAGAGGCCCCAGACACTTCTATCCTTCCAATCTTAGAATAGATTAAATTTCCTCCTTTATGAGCTTAATAGTTTGTAAGGCTCCATCTAGTATCAAGTGATACAAGCTTGAAATTTAAAATTTTTCTTTGAGTACTACTAGGATTTTCATCAAAGTCCTTTTCAGCTTTGGAAGAACAGATTTTTATACTGATTACATAAATAGGATTAATTTTTTAAAATATCTCTAAAGATTTCTTAAAGACATTTTACCATCACATGTTATGGCAGCATTCAGTCTGTGCTGGTGGAGGGAAGAAATATATAAATAGGTATTGTGGTTTTCTTTGTTATGAGTTTGAGGGTGCTAAGCAGGAGGATGTTTGGCCTTAATGTGTCTTCATGAATTATGGTGATCTCTGGAGTCCTATATTTAAAAACAAAATCTGAGACTGTAATAAGGTTTTACATTTCCAGAAAAAACCTAAAATAGGAACAATGACCAAGGCTTGCTTATGTACCCCAACACAGATTGCAGTTTAACCTTAGCTTGCTACATGGCCTCCCCTCCCACTGCCTATGGGAGAAGAGGATGAGGACCAGTAATGTATACATGTATATGACCCATTCTCAAAGCATTTTCATATAAATCTTAGTTTATCTCCTCTGCTGCCCCCCTTCTTTCACCACCTCCAAATCTGAGAGATAGATGTTAGTACCAATTTATAGATGAGATAATGAATTTTAAAGTTTTAAAGTGAGTTTTCCAAGGTCACACAGCTATTAAGATCCTATGTTCCATCACTCTGGCTTGGCTTTCCAACTTGATATACGTCCCTTGCAAGGGAGAGAGTACCACGTATTCTTCCTACTGGGTAACTTTTTAAAAAGGCTATCTTTGAGTAAAAATACTAGTAATTATTTTAAAGTAAAATCCAAATATTTGTTGGATTCTAGGATGCAGCTTATTGAGGGACACCACTGTGGCCATGGCTCTCGTGTTTAAGCAGTCATTTAATATACCTAGGCCTGACCTGTAGTGAAATCCAGAAACACTGTGACATTAGTGCTTAACCATTTTCTTTCTTGAAAGATTTTGAAAATGGACTTCAGTAAAGTTTGTTTTTAATATTAAAGGTAAAACTTCTCCTGCACGTATTTTACAAATTGCCCTTTGAAGAACTATTTTTTCCTCTTTACTCTTTACATTTTATTAACTGTAGTAAACAGTGATTGTAATTATATTTTAATAGCTGCTTTTTTTTTAAGATTTTATTTATTTATTTGGCAGAGAGATACAGAGAGAGAACAAGTAGGCAGAGAGGCAGGCAGAGGGAGAGGGAGAAGCAGGCTTCTCGCCGAGCAGGGAGCCTGACGCGGGGCTCGATCCCAGGACCCTGGGACCATGACCCGAGCCGAAGGCAGCCGCTTAACCGACTGAGCCACCCAGGCGCCCCTAATAGCTGCTTTTTAAAGGGCACTTTCTCCATATCTTGGTTACTTTCTTCTGTTTTGTTAAGAAAACTCCCTAAGGGGGCGCCTGGGTGGCTCAGTTGGTTAAGCGACTGCCTTCGGCTCAGGTCATGATCCTGGAGTCCCGGGATTGAGTCCCACATCGGGCTCCCTTCTCAGCGGGGAGTCTGCTTCTCCCTCTGACCTTCCCCCCTCTCATGTACTCTCTCTCAAATAAATAAATAAATAATCTTTAAAAAAAAAAAAAAGAAAACTCCCTTAGGAAAATAATAGCACCTAACATTTATAGAGCACTTACGTGTACCAGCCGTGAAACGATTATTTACAGAATTTGATTATCCCCTTAAAGATTAGGAAACAAACACAGAGCTGTTAAGTAAATTGCTGTAGGGTTATACAGCCAGAAAGAGTCAACATCAGGAGTCTAAAATGTGTAGCCTACCTCCAGAACCAGTATACTTAACATATACACTGGACTGTATCCCTAAAGGAAAAGAGAGCTTTCTTTATAGGAAAAGTAAGGTGTTTAACAGTTTATATTAAGGAATTTTATCTGATTCTCCTGATGTGTCTGTTTCATTGCAAAAAATCTCACTGATTTAGATTAAATGAATTCATTATTTACTAAGACTCATATATAATCTTGGCCCCCAGCACACTGCTTGGCTTATAAATAGAACATCAATATAACTTTCTGATTTGAGGCCAACATAAATTAATGAAAACTAGTTGGCTCTTTGATAAATCATGTAAGCCTCATCTTTCTCATCTGCAAATTAGGATATTTGGATTTAGTGATCTCTGAAGTCTTGTCTGATCAGAGATCAGACTTTACTTTGTTTAAATTCTAAAGATGTGGGTTATAAAATATTTTTAAAGAGGTATTTTGAGGACATATTGCAGTTGGACTGAAATAAAGAAAGTATTTCCTTGTAGATGTGGGCTGTTTGATTCTACCCAGGGAAGAAATCTAGAGTCTATATTTTTCCCTGAAGGCACTAGTCCAGGATTGTGTACAGCCAGCAAAACCCCACAAAATGCTGAGCATCTTCAGGAAGTACGTTTGAAACAGTCTTTTTTATTCAGGAATAAAACTAGCTTCTATTATGCTTGAATTATTGGTAGGAAACCTCAAGATACATAGCAAAACTAGATATATAGTGGAACTAGAGATCTGTTCACAGAATTAACTTCTATGTGAGGACGGACCTTGAAAATAATGAGACTGTTCACTCTGAAACTGTTAACTTGTGAGGAGCTAGGTGGGATTAAAGATTATCAAGGTTTCATGACTTCTGGAAAACATTAGTTTTTATCAGTTGAAGTATGTTAATGCTGTTTTCTGAAATGATTGGTTATGGGAATATGCTACAAGGAATAGAATGTTACCACATATTGGATATGGATATGGTTGATATTGGATTGGTAATTTTCAAAGAATAACAAAATTATTTACTGCATGTTAGGTGTTGCCACTATTAAAAATATATCATGTATAGTGTTTTGAGACTCCAGTGACATATTGGTATTATATATTGGCCAGTCAGTGACCTATTATGTAAAGGGCTAGGTAGTAAATAATTTAGGCTTTGTGAGCTATATGGTATCTGTTGTAAATACTCAACTCTCCCCTTGTAGCCCCCAAACAGCCATAGACAATACATAGATGAATGGGTATGGCATTGTTTAACAAAACTTTTATTTACAAAAACAGGCAGCAGACCAGATTTGTGTGCTGGTTTGTGGACCCTTTAGTGTATTATGGACATCAATTTTACCAATAAGCACAGAGGCCAGT